GCAGCGTGAGATCGTGCGTTGGGTCGAAGACATGGTGAAGAAGAAGCTCATCCGACCAAGCATCAGTACTCACGCAGCACCGACATTCTGTGTCCGGAAACCAGTCGGATGGAGAATCGTTCACGACTACCGGTATCTCAATTCAAACACTGTGCGCCAGAGCATCCCGATGACGAGGAAGGAAGACATCTTGGACGCCATGTCTGGAGCGTACTGGTTCTCCACTATGGATCTGATGTCCGCGTATTACCAAGTGCGTATGCGGGAGGAAGACATCAAGTTCACAGCTTTCCAGGCGCCAAACGGACTGTGGGAGTATCTTGTACTTCCGATGGGAGTCTGCAACGCGCCAGCAACAATGCACCGGTTGACTTCGAAGCTGTTCCGAGACTTGAAGAACACGAAGTCGTTCTACGATGACATCTACATCTTCATCAAGTCACCGAAGATCGAAAACCATTTGGAGGCGCTGCACGGACGTTGGATATCTTGCGCGACAACAAGCTGTACGTCAAACTGTCCAAGTGTGTCTTCTGCACCGACGAGATTCCATGCCTTGGTGATTTCGTGGGACGTAACGGAGTTCGGATGGACACCGACAAGGTGCAGACCATCAAAGACTGGCCCGTGCCGCGGACCCAAGAGGAGCTTCACAGCTTCCTGGGTCTGACTGGCTACGTGCAACGCTTTTGCCCGAAATACGCTTCGGTCACGGCAACCATGTTCGCCCTCCTGAAGAAGAAGATCAAGCGCAACGCGAAGCTTCACTTCAGCGACGTGCAGTTGAGGAATTTTAAGGAGTTGAAGCGGAGGTTGTGTAACCCACCAGTGCTGCATCTCCCGGACTTCAGCCAGCCAATGCATCTGCGGACGGACGCGAGCAAGTTCGCCGTAGGTGGAGTGCTGTTTCAAGTCGTCGATGGTGTCGAGCGTCCCATTGCGTACACCAGTCGGAAGATGAAGTCTGCGGAGCTCAACTACCCAACGCAACAACAGGAGTTGTTAGCCATCGTTCATGCACTGGCCGCGTTTCGGATCTACTGCTTGGACAAGCCGCCAATTGTGGAGACCGACCACAAGAGTGTTCACACAGAAGATGGCCAACCACCGACTAGCAAGCTGGTATGATATCCTTGCGGAGTATCAACCGACGTTCTCGTATCTCCCTGGAGCGAAAGACGGTATTGCAGACGCTTTGAGCCGAAGACCAGACCTGGAACCGGAGACGAAGTTCTTCCACGACTTGAGTGTGACAAACTTCGACGATACATCCTTCAGTCTGGCTATCAGCGAAGTAACTGGCGACTCCGACTTGATATCAAGCATCAAGAAGTCGTATGAGAAAGGCCGCGAGGTCCAGGCCATTTTCACAGCGATCAAGCGGCGCAACTCCAGCTCGAAACCGAAGCGTGAACGCAACCAGCAGAAGAAGTACCGATGCTACACCGAAGCGTATGGACTGCTCTGGTATCAAACACCCGCAGACGACGCTCCGCGCGTTGTCGTGCCCAACGATGTAAAGTTGCAGCAGACAATCATCAGCGAGTGTCATGACACCAACTACGGCGGCCATCCCGGTGCTGAGCGAACATACTTGACACTAGCGCGCCGCTGGTACTGGTCGAAGATGCTGAAGTCCATCCAGAAGTTTGTCGCCGACTGCGAGCCTTGTCGGATGAGCAAGCCGCGGTTGACGAAACCTCCTGGGTTGCTCGAGCCACTCAGTATTCCAGACGAGCGTTGGAGATCCATCTCCATGGACTTCATCACTGATCTGCCGCGAACGGAACGGGGCGTCGACTCTATCTGGGTCGTCGTCGATCGGTTGACCAAGCGGTGTCATTTCGTGCCAACCACCAAGAAGGTGAACGCCGAAGGTGTTGCTCGACTCTTCATCGACAACATCTGGAAGTTACACGGCATGCCGACGAATATCGTCTCTGACCGCGACAGGAAGTTCGTGTCCGCCTTCTGGCAGCATGTCTTCAAGTCCATCGGGACGAAGCTGAGCATGTCCGTGGCTCACCGAGCTCAAGGCGACGGGCAAACGGAACGTATGAATTGAACGCTGGAGGAGTATCTTCGTTGCTTCGTTGGTCCACTTCAGGATGATTGGGATCTTCATCTAGCGAACGCTAAGTTTTCCGTCAACTCAACGGTCAACTCCAGCACGAAGCTAGCGCCATTCGAGGCCGATCTGGGATTCATCCCGCTGAATCCTCTTCAGCTTGCTACCGAGAAGTTGGAGAGCATTCCCAAAAGTCGACGAGGAGCGGAGTTCCATGAGCGCCAAGCCGCCATCTTGCTGAGTTGTCGCGAAGCATTGACCCAGGCGCAGGAGCGAATGTGTGATATGTCTACGACCGCAACCGTGAAGAACAAGTCTTTGACGTTGGCGACCGCGTGTACTTGAGCACGCAAAACTTCGACCCACAGCACTCTGGCTTGCCGAATTCGACCAAGTTTGGACCGAAGTGGATTGGACCCTACACGATCGTGCGGAAGATACACAACCATGCCTACGAGCTCAACATCCAGGCTGGTAACAAGCTACATCCAGCCTTCAACACTGGCTCGCTGAAGCCCTACAAGGAACCGAGTCGTTTGTCACGGCCGCACGACGTCATCCTCGCGGATGGCACTGTCGGTCAACTTGTGCGTCGACTCCTAGGGAAACGTCGCCACAAACGTCGGACCCAATTCCTTGTGGAGTGGGTGGGCGAAGAGAAGCCTACATGGGAGCCGGTTGAAAACTTGAAGCAAGTGCCAGACTTGATCGCGGAATTCGAAGCCCAACGTCGTGTGAAGCGAAGACGACGAACCAGAAAGCAATGAAAGGGAGCTCAAGGCCACATGTATTCTCGGTTGGCTGCATGCCTATCCCTGGCTGCGCTTCTTGGCTCTCTTCTTAGCGTTCTTGGCTGACTTTGCCACTGCCTTTCTCGCTCGCTTCTTCGCAGTCCTGGTGAGTCGCTTCCCGCGTGGTGGTTTCGGTTTGGGCCCTTCCTTGATGCGATAGATGGCCTTGACGGTGTCAATCCACTTGATGTTCGTCAATCGCTCCATTCCACAGGGTAGATCATCGAACTCTTCCCAGACATCATATGTCATCAACGGACCCCGGTGAAGTCGAACCACGAGAACGAAGCAGTGATCGAGGCGGTGCTGACCCGCGCACACGAGGTAGCATCCACGGTCCAGCTTCTCACGGCGAACGAAGGCGATGAGATTAGCCAGCGAGTTCAACGAGTCGATTTGCCGCGACTTGTACAGCTCGTTGTAGTCCAAAGGAACACAGTCGCGCTCCAAGAACTTGAAGAACTCAGCCATGTCTTCCCGCTTGACGCCGTAGGTCATCTCGCGCTTGTGTTGCTTCTCGAAGCGTTCCCAGTGGTCCTCCGTAATGAGCGATGGGTTGTCAAGATGGTAACACGCCGCGTGAAGAGCCTCCATGAAGCACCGACCAGTCGCCGAAACACCCGCGGCACCAAAGTGTTCGTGCGCGTACCGATAGAACGTGTCGGGACGTCCAGCAGCGACCCACTTGTCAACGTGGTCCTTCAACTCCGGGTACCCAGCAAGCTGTTCTTCCCATACCCAAGACAGTTGAAGCGGCTTGGTGTCCCACTTCACTAAGTACGACCGATTGGGAGGGTCACCGTGGCGATCCATGAAGTAGGCGAAGTCATACTCATGCGATGGGTCCCAAGGCGCCGATGGATCATAGTAATTGCGATGGTTGTTTCCCGGGTGGCGCTCAGGATGTTGAGGCAAAGGCTCGTTGTGGTAGACAACCATCTGCGTCTCCATCGACCGTGACGGTGCCGCTGGAACAGCAACACGAGTCTCAACATCAGGCCTGCAAGACTGAAGCCTAGCCGAGGTACTGCGAAGCGTAGGACCGCGGGGTCGCGACGACGAAGGCTCTAAACGAAGTCTCTGAAGCAGGCGCGCCGGTTCATCAACATTGCTCGAGGCCACTACCGAAGGCACGGTGGACACCGAGGCTGGCAAAGCAGGAGGCACTGCCGGACTACCTTGGTCGACGACCACGTCTTCGCAGTCGTCGTCGGGCTCAGCCAGGAGAGCATCCAGGTCCACCAAATCGCTAAGACCTTCATCTTCATCGAGCGCGCGCGCTGGCGCTGGCGAGAGGGCGCCGCGTGGGCCCACCGGAACGCCGTCCTCACCCAACAGCAGGAATGGCTCCACGATCCCCGGGTCGAAGTCGAAGTCATCCGTCGGAGGCAGCGAGGCCAGCAGTGCAGCGGACGCATCGCGCGGCGAAGAGAGGGACGCGCGGGGTGCGCGCTCAGCAGCGGCAGCGAGTTGGTCAAGGGCCGCCTGCGAGGGCGACCCGGGCTCCGAAGAAGGCGACGCCCCAGCCTGTGTGTGGCCGAGGCCACCGTACTCGACCGTCATGACGGTGGCGCTGGCAGGACCTATCCAGCTCCGACCGGGGGAGTACACCACCAACCAGCGCAGGACAAATCCGCCACAGAAGTCGCCCGAGAGCTCCAACTGTTGCGCCATGCACGTCCAATCGAGAAAAGACTGTTAAGTACGGACTTGGCAAGGATAAGTTCTGTTGGCTTTGTAGCCATCTGTCTTAAGTACGACTGTACCTTGAAGAGCCGCGAGGACGAAGCGACGCAGCCCTCATCTCAGGAAGGGGTGAGTGTATCAGATTAGAGAGGTAACAGTACCGTAGGTATCGTTCGCATTGTTAAGGACATAATAGGATAGAGCAGATGTAGGGTGGTTGTAGAAGCTTCTAGAAAGGAGCTTCCATCCACTCGAACTGCGGGGCGGTCACTTTTGGCTTAGACCCGCCATCCCCCCAAGTCTGGCTTCCTCTTCGTTTTGAAATTCTAAATTGCCTCAATCGTGCTTGAGGTGGACTGTGCACACTACTTTGTGATAATAGCCTACCATGAATTACGCAAATTTGAAATCGAGCACTTCGTATGATTTATAGATGCTGAAACTCGTACAAGACAATGTACTGCACGTACTCGTAAGGCATCCGTAGCTGCACTGTGATCAAAGTAAATCGAGCCAATCCCTTCACACAATCCTAATGATTACTACATCCTGAGCGGTGCTTACGCTGCCATGCTTTTCGACGCCAAACACACAGTGCTAGTCCTCACATCGCATCTTCCACATACCTAAGCCCCCGAGTCAAGCACCACGCGTTTCCTTTGCGCTTTTTTGCTAGCGATCTGCCTTCTTAGCGCGGTGGTTGGCGATGCTTCTGCTCTCGCTTATTACCCGGACCAAGCGAGAATTTCCGCCAACCCACGCCAGTTGAACACGGGGGAGAAGATTGAGGAAGCAAGAGTATCAAGAGCCATCAAGATTGACATCAAGGACGCCTCGGAGAGGGCTTACACCCCGGGACTATCGCCACTTGCAGGGGCGGTGTCGAAGATTAGTCCATCTGCCCAGAAAGTCGCTAACAAGTTGTGGCTCAAGTCACAGACGGACCCGACCCTCGTATTCAACATGTTGCACCTTGGAGAGGCCAGCGTGAAGCTCGATGAGAACCCACGATTTCTGTTGTGGCTCAATTACGTGGATACGTAAGCGAAATTAGAGTTCAGCTCGTTTTCCGACGATCAAGTCATTCGGTTGCTGCTAAAATCCCAATCGGAAGCGAAGCTGGTGACACTTTCCCAGTCGCTTCGGAAAATCCCGACCAGGAAGAATTTAGCTGAAATGATGCAGGTTTATTTGGCCGAAAGCTCGGCATCTTCGCGCGAGTTGCTGAACGCGGCGTGGCTAAAATCTCGTGAAACCCCCGCTAGGGTTTTTAAGATACTGTATTCAAAGGGGGCAAGACAAGCTGAAAGACAACTCCAAGTTTCTGCAGTGGTTCCAATACTCCAAGACGTACTGGTCGACTGTCTCGCGTGATCCGTCCGACTTGCAAACATTCAACTCCTTGCTGAACAAGTATAAATATTCGGAGATCGAGCTCGTGCGGCTTTTTCAAGCGTTAAAACAGCGTCCGGAGCTAGCAACCCTTGGAGATAACTTGCCGACTTTCCTGTTCAAGAAATGGCTAGACAAAAAGTTCACTCCCAGATATGTCGGGAAACAGTTGGCGTTGCCATGGGGAACAACAATTTTCGCCTTAGAGAAGGATCACATATTTTACAGAGCGCTGGAAGAGTACACGATCTACTATACTGCAAGGCGGGGTGGAGAGGAACTTCTGAAGACAGTGCGAGGTTTGTTTGCCAGCAACAAGCCCGATGAAGCTCTCGACGCAGCTATGAAGCTTGCTAGGTAGAGACTAGTCTAGACGGCGCCTACCGACGATAATCGTTTGGAATAAAGACATGTCTGCTGCTAGAACAGGAAACTTTTAGGTGAGCAAGATAATATCATCCCATGAGTTTTGCCCTCCTGAGTTACTTATTAATGCAACTTAGTACTGCAAGCAGCCTATATAGGACGATAGCACGTGGTACTTGCAACGCTTTGTTCCCTGCCTACTACATATAGGGAACAGCGCGTCGCAACCGCATCTTCGCTCACTCGTCCGTCTATGACATGTCCACGTTCGAACTGGGAAGAATCTCAAGATTGCGCTCATTGGACCCGAGAAAGTTGCCGACTTGGTGGAAGACGCAGTGGCAAGAGGGCAATGGCTCTGATCGGTGGGAAGTGCAGTGACCTGGACAATAATTTCTACGAGGCCGCCGCCCTGACGGATGTGAGCGCGTCTGGAGCGAGGAGATTTTCAGCCCTCGACGCGATATCCGGAGTGGAAGGTGGCACAACGGATGCAAGCCGCGCTGCGGACAACAATACAACTTGCCCCTTGCAGCCCAACAGCTACAGTGCGGCAGCCCGTGGGATTCTTTCATGGCAGGTCATCGCACCCCAAGCGGCATGGGGGATTTGGTTACGTGCTGGTGGACACGAACACGCCAGACAACAACGGCATACTAGCAGGTGGAGGCAGCAGAGAGCAACTACCAGATAACTGCACAGCGAGCACGGCTGCTCTACACTCGCTACTACAACTACTCAATCGAGCATATGAGTTAAATCTCCGCGAGATTCAAGTGGCAGGAGACTCATCAGTGGTGGTCCGCTACCTTCGCGACAGACGCCTACCCAAGACGGAGAACCTGAAGCGTTTGTATCTCAAGTGCAGACGGCTAGCAGATCGGATACGGGTTGATGCATGGCATCACATTCACCCAAACGCCAACACAGGTTGTGTCCTACTTGCTACGACTGGGTCGCCACTCGACTCCGACGACAATCCCGGGGTCGACCCACTTACGAAAAGCATCCCCTCACTGGAGCAGGCTATACGGCAAAACATCTACATGCTCGCGCAGGCGCAACTGGACACGAGCATGGCAGACCAAAGCCAGGGTGGCAGACGTCAGCAGATCTAGATCGTGCCGAGTTGCTGGTCTTTTGATCGGCTCGGTTGTTAGGATTCTTTTAAGTAATCCAATATACCTCATCATCATCAAGGAGATTTTCAGCCCGGTTGCGCCGCTCTTCGTCTTCTCCAGGGAGGAAGAAGTGCCAACGCTGGGCTAGCCGGATACTTCTACACGTAGGACGTGTCGCTCATTTCTCGTGTTGCCAGTAAGCTAAAACGGGAATGTTTAACAGGAAGAAGTGCTGTCTTGGGGGAGGGCGTGCGAAACTAAGAGTGCCGCCCCCGCAGTTCAGGCGGATGGAAGCTTCGCGAAGCCTCCACAGCCGCCCTACATCTGCATATCTATTTTAACTTGGTTTCATTATACCTACGGTGAGTCGTACCTACACTGACCTCCTATTGGCTTACCTTTCTACCAATTAGATACACTCACCCCTTCTCTGGCTGCGCGCCCTTCCGACATGTCATTCCCGAAGAAGACAGAAAACCGCGACGCTTCCGGCTGTCGCCTGAGGAATTAGTCCGACCTCGCTTCTCCTTCGCCTCGGCCGGGTTGTTGGAGGCTTGGATTGGTTCCTTGGGCTGATGGTTGTGTCGCTAGCGATTTCTACTGCTGCCGGAATGCAGTCTCCTGCTTCCGCGCGTTCTGCCTCGCCTCCAGCGACGGCTGATCATGATGTTGAGCCTCCGCCGTCTGCGTCGCCTCTGGCGACCGCAAATCTCGATGGTCCGTCCATGCTTCCGCCTGGCGCCGGCAGACGCTGAATGCGCCGCCGCGCTCGCGCAGATTGTCGATGTTGTGGCCGCTGCTGGTGAAGACAGCAATGCTGACTCCGGTCTTGACGAAGAGATGGTGCGTGTGTGTGGGAAGAATTAGAGCTCACCAGTCGCTCTCTCGGTCTTGGTTCTCTAGATTCGGGCTCGGCGTCCCCAGCGTCGCCTGGGCCTCCTGCGTCACCTGCACCGCCTGCGTCGCCAGCGCCGCTTGAGGTTGTTGCTTCGGCTGGTGGTCTTTCTCCACCTACGCGCCTCCAGGAGTTGATCTTCATGCTCGATGTGGAAGGGTTGTCCGTCGAGGAGGCGATAGGTGCTGACCCTGCGCTTGGGGCGTCGTTTGAGGCCTCGCCTGAAGATGAATTCGGGCTTTTCGATGATAGTGACGATAATGAAGGTCTGCCTCAGGTTGACCGCTCGCGCATGCGTCGCGGTGACGAGACTTCGATTTGGTATCCGATGCCGCTTCCTCCGGCGCCCAAAAAGCACCCGTCGAACAACCGCAAGAACCACTACGACCCGAAGAAGCCTTGGGATTACAACCCTGAGGTTGACATCGTCCGTGCCTTGGATGTCAGGGGCAAGGCTCCGCACCGTTGAAACTTGGTGGAATGGGAAGGCAATCCGCTACAGCTAAGCTGGGTCTGGATGGAGCAGCTCGACAAACCGTCGACGCGCTACATGATGAGGATGGTGGACGCTTGGAAGGAATCGGGAGACAAGCGCACCTTCTGTTATTGGTACTCGGAGCGTGATTCCGCGTCGGAGGCTGGTACTTGTTTTATGGATGCTTTCCGCTCGGCCTTGTACTATCTCGGACAGCCGGATCTGGTCGCAATGGAGATGTGGGATGCGTATGAAGACACGCGACCTGACGCCATCCAGTACGGTGTGTCTCGCGACGACGTGACGGAGTTCTTCAAGGTTCTGCAGTGCAAGAGTCTGCCACTGAACTACGACGTCCTTCTCCGAAACGCTCTTCCAGAGTCAAGTGCCAACATCACGACGCTCCAAGATGTTTGCCGCAAACAAGCACCCGGTGTTTACGTCGTCAGCGCTGGCCGCAATGATGTCGGGCACTGCTTTGTCGTGGTTAACCGTGGTCCGGAGAAGCAACTTCTGGCTCTTGACAATTTCAATGCCCGCAAGAACCCGCCGGTGGATTCAGCACGTGAAATGGATGGCGCAAGTGGAGCTGCAACCAGGATACAAGTGTCGCCACGGCAAGCGCAAGTCGAAGACGCAAAAAAAGCGGGAGAAGCGCATGAAGCAGCAGGTTCTGCACAAGAGGGGATGCAATACGGGAATACATGTAGGCCTTTGAGCCCCCCCCCCCCCCCCCAGCTGATCCTGCTTCACCGTTTTCGACGCTTCTTTCGCCTTGCGGATTCAAATTCCGCGATGAGATCTGGGACTTGCGACAAGTTCTCCACTGGTTCCCAGGTTTGTTTCTCCTCGCCCACCCACTCCACAAGATATTGGATCCGCCGTTTTCGCGTTCGCTTTCCACGTAATGCCTTGACGATCTGGCCAATGCTGCCGTCCGCTAAGATTACGTCGCTTGGCCTCGACAAGCGAGTCAGCTCCTTGTACGGCTTCAATGACTCAGTGTTGAAGACGGGATGCAGTTTGTTGCCAGCCTGGATGTTGAGCTCGTACGCGTGGTTATGAATCTTCCGCACCACGGTGTACGGTCCAATCCACTTGGGTCCGAACTTGGTGGAGTTGGGCAAGCCGGAGTGCTTCGGGTCCAGATTCTGCGTGCTCAAGTATACCCTGTCACCAACTTCGAAGATCTGCTCAACACGGTTTCGGTCGTAGACGTCGCGCATCCGTTCTTGGGCCTGAGCTAACGCTTCGCGACAGCGTAAGAGAATCGCCGCCTGTCGCTCGTGAAACTCTGCTCCGCGTCGACTCTTGGGGACACTCTCAAGTTGCTCGGATGCAAGTTGAAGTGGATTCAGCGGAATGTAGCCCAGATCGGCTTCGAACGGCGCAAGCTTCGTGCTGGAGTTGACAGTTGAGTTGACAGCGAACTCAGCGTTGGCGAGATGGACGTCCCAATCATCTTGAAGTGGACCGACGAAGCAACGAAAATACTCTTCCAAGGTTCGGTTCATGCGCTCCGTTTGTCCGTCACCTTGAGCGCGATGTGCAACGGTCATACTTAGCTTCGTCCCGATGGACTTGAAGACATGCTGCCAGAAGGCGGACACGAACTTCCTGTCGCGGTCGGAGACGATATTCGTCGGCATGCCGTGTAACTTCCAGATGTTGTCGATGAAGAGTCGAGCAACACCTTCGGCGTTCACCTTCTTGGTGGTTGGCACGAAATGACACCGCTTGGTCAACCGATCGACGACGACCCAGATAGAGTCGACGCCCCGTTCCGTTCGCGGCAGATCAGTGATGAAGTCCATGGAGATGGATCTCCAACGCTCGTCTGGAATACTGAGTGGCTCGAGCAACCCAGGAGGTTTCGTCAACCGCGGCTTGCTCATCCGACAAGGCTCGCAGTCGGCGACAAACTTCTGGATGGACTTCAGCATCTTCGACCAGTACCAGCGGCGCGCTAGTGTCAAGTATGTTCGCTCAGCACCGGGATGGCCGCCGTAGTTGGTGTCATGACACTCGCTGATGATTGTCTGCTGCAACTTTACATCGTTGGGCACGACAACGCGCGGAGCGTCGTCTGCGGGTGTTTGATACCAGAGCAGTCCATACGCTTCGGTGTAGCATCGGTACTTCTTCTGCTGGTTGCGTTCACGCTTCGGTTTCGAGCTGGAGTTGCGCCGCTTGATCGCTGTGAAAATGGCCTGGACCTCGCGGCCTTTCTCATACGACTTCTTGATGCTTGATATCAAGTCGGAGTCGCCAGTTACTTCGCTGATAGCCAGACTGAAGGATGTATCGTCGAAGTTTGTCACACTCAAGTCGTGGAAGAACTTCGTCTCCGGTTCCAGGTCTGGTCTTCGGCTCAAAGCGTCTGCAATACCGTCTTTCGCTCCAGGGAGATACGAGAACGTCGGTTGATACTCCGCAAGGATATCATACCAGCTTGCTAGTCGGTGGTTGGCCATCTTCTGTGTGAACACTCTTGTGGTCGGTCTCCACAATTGGCGGCTTGTCCAAGCAGTAGATCCGAAACGCGGCCAGTGCATGAACGATGGCTAACAACTCCTGTTGTTGCGTTGGGTAGTTGAGCTCCGCAGACTTCATCTTCCGACTGGTGTACGCAATGGGACGCTCGACACCATCGACGACTTGAAACAGCACTCCACCTACGGCGAACTTGCTCGCGTCCGTCCGCAGATGCATTGGCTGGCTGAAGTCCGGGAGATGCAGCACTGGTGGGTTACACAACCTCCGCTTCAACTCCTTAAAATTCCTCAACTGCACGTCGCTGAAGTGAAGCTTCGCGTTGCGCTTGATCTTCTTCTTCAGGAGGGCGAACATGGTTGCCGTGACCGAAGCGTATTTCGGGCAAAAGCGTTGCACGTAGCCAGTCAGACCCAGGAAGCTGTGAAGCTCCTCTTGGGTCCGCGGCACGGGCCAGTCTTTGATGGTCTGCACCTTGTCGGTGTCCATCCGAACTCCGTTACGTCCCACGAAATCACCAAGGCATGGAATCTCGTCGGTGCAGAAGACACACTTGGACAGTTTGACGTACAGCTTGTTGTCGCGCAAGATATCCAACGTCCGTGCAGCGCCTCCAAATGGTTTTCGATCTTCGGTGACTTGATGAAGATGTAGATGTCATCGTAGAACGACTTCGTGTTCTTCAAGTCTCGGAACAGCTTCGAAGTCAACCGGTGCATTGTTGCTGGCGCGTTGCAGACTCCCATCGGAAGTACAAGATACTCCCACAGTCCGTTTGGCGCCTGGAAAGCTGTGAACTTGATGTCTTCCTCCCGCATACGCACTTGGTAATACGCGGACATCAGATCCATAGTGGAGAACCAGTACGCTCCAGACATGGCGTCCAAGATGTCTTCCTTCCTCGTCATCGGGATGCTCTGGCGCACAGTGTTTGAATTGAGATACCGGTAGTCGTGAACGATTCTCCATCCGACTGGTTTCCGGACACAGAATGTCGGTGCTGCGTGAGTACTGATGCTTGGTCGGATGAGCTTCTTCTTCACCATGTCTTCGACCCAACGCACGATCTCACGCTGCTGCTCAGGAGACTGTCGCCACTGTTGTCGGTACATCGCCAGATTTGGATCCTTCACATCAATCCGGTGCTCAATGTCGCGCTTCTCTGGTAAACCTTCGGGTAGCTCAGGACGGAACACGTTGTCCTTGTACTCCGTTAGGAGGTCGAAGGCTGGATTTTCACGGAAACTGTCCCAGTCCGTTTCCAGATAGCGATGTGCTTTCGCACTACCAACATTGTCGGGTTGGTCTCGTCGTTGCAGTGAGCGTGCAGCTTGCTTGATCGTCTCGTTCGAGAGCACCAACATGAAGTCAGGCTCGTCGCTCGTCTTGGTCTTAATTCTCAGGAACTTCCGCAGTTTCTTGCGGGTGATGTACTTGGTCTGCACACCACTATCGTCGACAACACCCATCGTGAACATCTTCTCCACGACGTTGTCTCCACCCCTGGTACTGCTTCTTTCGTCGGCTTCTCGTGCAGTACTCTCGCGTTCTGACGTCGCAACGTCGTCTTCTCCAGCTGAACACTCGCCAGCTTGCGGGTCATCTCCTCGTCGTCTGCTGACAACGGTCGGGGTCTCCTTCTGCACTGCGTCGCGAACAGCTTCGCACGTGGACTTCACATCCGTTTCCAGTGCGGCGCCTCGACAGGAATCGGGTCTTTTCGCCGAAAGGCCTTTCGCCTCGACAGTTCTCCGAAGCCCGGAGGCAATCACCGGTCCGCCTTCCTCGATCGGTCCACAGGTGTCACTTGTCCGCTCCCAGCGCAGAGTCCTCGTTCTCGTTCCTTCGATTCATCGACCTCTCCAGTCAATACGTGGTTGCATGTCTTCGAAGAATGGTATTCCAAGAATGCAATCGAATTCGTCTGGAATCGGGTAGACGACTGCCACACACTTGTAGGCGTCGTCCAGCCTCGAGACCAGAATCTCTATCGGCAGAACTTCAAGCTCCGCCTCGACAATTTGGTTGTCTCCCAGCTTGACACGAATGTTCTTGTCGCTGAACTTGGTTGTCTGAAGCTGGTGCTCCTCGACCCAACGCTTGGATACGTAGATCGTGGTGGCTCCACAGTCCAACAACATGCTTCGTGTCGCGAGACACCTGTCACCAACACTGATTTCACCTGTTACGGAGAACAGTGGACGTGACTTGTAGACCAGGGGGTTTTCGCACAGAACGTTCAAGCTGATATTCTCAATCTTTGGTGTTTTGGTTACGCTCTCAGCCACGACAGGACCCTCCTTCGCTGACGTGGTTGCCCGTTTCCCTGTTTCTCCTGGTCTTTCTTCCTGAGAAAGCAGTTGGTCTTGATGTGACCAGGCTTCTTGCAGTGAAAGCAGGTACGACCCTCGGCGCGTTTGGGCTCAGCTCTCGGCTTGAAGCGGCCTTTCCCGCGGAACGGCTTCCCCTTGAAGGGTTTACCTTGGGCGTGAGGTTGATCAGCCGACGAGAACTTCTTGTCGCGCTTGGGTTGACGGTCGCGAGCTTCTTCGACGAAGTGAGTCACCTCGTACTTGACAGCCAAGTCCATAGCGTCGCTCAGGGTCTGGGGGTTCTCGAGCTTGACGTATCTGCGCGTGCGAGGCTTGAGACCGTTCGCGTAGTACAGCACTTGGTCGAGTACGCTCATGCCCTCCACTCTGAAGATGAGAGCTGAGTACTCACCGTTGTACGTCTCAATGTCTGCTACCTGCTTGAGTCGCTGAAGCTTCTCGCGCAGGACAGCCTGGTAGTTCGATGCCTCGAAGTGTTGGAGCACATGCTCACGGAAAATCCCCCACGTGTGCTCCTCGCTTCATGTCGTCGACGACCAGTGCAGGAACCAACCGGAGGCAGGCTTCTCCATCGCCGACCCCGCGATTCCTGGTAGTCGGGTGCTTGCGTCTTCGATCGGGATGTTGTTGATTCGACAGGCGTTCTCGATCTGGAACAGCCATTCGCGGACATCCTCCCCTCGCTTGCCGGTGAACTTCGGCAGGTTGCTCGGCACTCGCGTGCGGTCCGCCATCGCTTGGTTCAGCCGATCGATCTCGGCGCGTAGTTGGGCGATGGTGGGCATGGGTTTCTTGTGGTCAAGTTGCTGGGGTCAACAAGTGCTACCAGTTTGACAGGAAGAAGTGCTGTCTTGGGGGAGGGCGTGCGAAACTAAGAGTGCCGCCCCCGCAGTTCAGGCGGATGGAAGCTTCGCGAAGCCTCCACAGCCGCCCTACATCTGCATATCTATTTTAACTTGGTTTCATTATACCTACGGTGAGTCGTACCTACACTGACCTCCTATTGGCTTACCTTTCTACCAATCAGATACAGAATGACTGTGATGAGCAGAATTCTCAGTTCTTTTTCGTTTAATTCTTCACGAGTTTATTACATGTGTCACATATATGCAAGTACCGTCATTATGAGCATGTTACCGTGTTGGATGTGGCACTGCCCCTTTTCCCCAATCCTGGCCCCCAGACCCGAATGTTGGCTAGATCCGCCCCTGACGCGACCCACCACTAGTATAACAAAAGCTACAAACGCACCGTCTAAGGTTACAAAATGTTAGCCACCTCATTTGACACTAACTAAGAGTTTGCAAACGAACCCTTGATGTTCTGTGAAGAGGTGACTGGTTCGGATTCCTCAATTTTTTTCCAGACATGTTTTTGCGGAATACGAAAGTTGGATGCTATGTTCAAGCCACCGGCTTCAAAACAACTTCTCTGTACATGCAGTACTTCTAGAAAATGATGTGTCACTAAATACGAATCACGAGAAGGGCAAGTCAAGTTACAAACCATACTTTTGCTTTTTCGGAGAAGAAAAAGAAGCCTCGGTAGTACATTGTACTACACAGCAACTCCGCCTCTGACAGATTGCGCTGTTGAGTAGACCTGTTTAGTGCAGTGCACGAAAAAGTCCCTACAAATGCACTAAAGTACTTTAGTGCACTTTTGGCGCACCTGCGCACAACTGATGCTGGACATTAGCGTGTGCACTAAAGTACTTTAGTGCATTTGTGGGGACTTTCGTGCACTGCACTAAACAGGTCTACTGTTGAGCTGAAGCGTTGGTAACTCACTTTGGAAAAGTCAATGTGATGCCGTAGCGTGCAGATGTACTGTACTGCAATGTGGTAGTCACCATCGTAGTCACCATCATAGTCACCATCATCTGCAGGATTTATGGTAAACACGAACGAATGGACAACACAAAATGCGACGGGAGGATACAGTGCTGGGGGCGCCCCAGCTGGGCAGGACGATCAGGAAAAGCCCTCCCTCCTCACATGGCCATGTGCACTTTGATTCTCACCCAGGAGCCCCAAGTCGAGCGAATGAGTTTGCTCAACGCTGCTTTGTTTGCGATCTACCTTCTTAGTGCGCTGGGTTGCGATGCTTCAGCCCTCACGAATTATCCGGACCAAGGGAGGATCTCTCTCCCCAACCTACGCCACTCCAACACTGCTCTCCAGAGAAGAGTGTTAAAGTCCAAGGACGCGGACAACGTCGACACCAAGGGCGACATCGAGAGGGCTTACATCCCGGGGTTATCACCGATAGCAGGGGCGGTCTCGAAGATTAGTCCGTCTGCTCAGAAACTCGCTAACAAGTTGTGGCTGCAGTCGAAGACGGACCCAGAGCTGGTTTTCAACGTGTTGCACCTCGGAGAGGCCGCCGCGAAGCTCGACAACAACCCAAGGTTCCTCCTGTGGCTCAAGTACGTCGACATGTACGCGAATTTAAAGTTCCGCTCGTTTTCCGACCACCAAATCGTTGTGTTGCTGCGAAAGTCCCACTCGGACGAGAAGCTGGTGACACTTTCCCAGTCGCTTCGCCGAATCCCGGCCAGAAAGAACTTGGCTGAGATGATGCAGCGTTACCTGATTGAAGACTCGGCATCGTCGCGCCCGCTGCTGATTGCGGCGTGGCGTGAGTCTCTTGAAACACCGGATGAGGTTTTCAAGATACTATATCCAAATGGGGCGACACTTCCAGCGGACAAACTGCCAGACAACTCCCAGTTCCTGCAGTGGTTTAAATACACCGAGACGTACTGGCCAGTTGACACGCGCGACTTGAGCACGTTCAAGTTCTTGGAGCAGAAGTTTGGCGATTCGGACATGCACATCGCGCTACTCTTCCAAGCCGTAAAGCAGCGTCAGGAACTCGAGACCCTTGGAGATAGCTTGCAGAGTCTCCTGTTCAATACTTGGGTAGACAAAAAGTTCACGCCTGGGTTTGTCCAGAGTCAGTTGGCGCTGCCGTGGGGGATTGCGATTTTCAAGTTAGGCAAGGGTGACGTCTTTTACAGAGCGCTGGAAGAGTACACGATCCACTATACAGGAAAACTGGGTGGAAAGGAAGTGCTGAAGACAGTGCGAGGGTTGTTTGCCAACGATAAGCCTGACGAAGCTCTTGCAATTGCTACAAACCTTGCACGGAACCAATAAAAGGTGTCTTCCTGTCGGCGACAACTTTGACAATCCAGATATTCGTTTGTTTTATTTAGCGGAGTCACGTCGTATCGGTTAATAGTCCTTCTCTGGATCAGCCTCATGCTGGTGCCTCGAAGTGATTCGAACAGCGACCACCATAGCTACTCACTCAATTGAAATTGGTGTTTGTTTCGAACCAGCTTGTGAATCTGATTCTGTTTGCCTTGCCTTCTTCTTCCCACTCCCCTCTGCAGTAGCACTCTTTTCGTCTTCTTCACGAATCGTGAAGGTGCTGAGCAGTCCAAAGTGGTCGGATGGCCACAGTCCATCGGCGATCTTCTGCTGACCGACAATCATGATCTCATCAAACGTACACCGCGCTGCTTCTTCACCGGGCGCAGCGTAGAAATACATGCGATCCAGCCGACTGAGAAAGGATCGACTCGTCACCAGCGTATTGCGCGTACCGTCAAACGTGTACCCATTCTCCTCCGTGTTACCAGGCACAGACAACCAGAGATCCTTCCAGCCTCCGGGAAGACCAGCCGTCGCCTGCATCACAACAAGAAAAATAAATTGGCTCGCCTTATCAACAAGAATCTCGACTCCAGATATCCTACCATGTCCATTTCCTCTTCGTCTCCGTGCCCCACCTCCTCCCCACGAAGCTCACCCGCCTTCCGTCTCACCAACTGCTTCTCATCATCCGTAGTATCCGCTGCCTCTAGGAAACAATCCTCATGGAACCACACTCGGATCTCCATGACCTTCCCTCCGGCCACCTTGTCCTTCATCATCTTCCCCACCCGCACCGCACCCTTATCAATACTCTCCCTGCACTTCCGACACTTGGACCTGCCACTCTTGGCCAGCTCCACATCCACATCCGCGAACGCGGTCAGACGTCGGTCCAGCAGCTTCATGTCCGCTCGCAGCAGGTTCGTGTCCCCCATGAACACCGCCCCGAGACAGACGCTGGGACTACTCTGGCCATGGAGTTGTCGTTTCCCGCCTACTACCACCACGTCGTCACTCTCCGCATTGTTCACTCGGTCCCGAAGTAGAGTGAGACTCTCCTTCAATTGGGCCACGCGAGGCCCCGCGAACTGCGGGAGACTCTCGAGGTGGGACGTCCCCACGTAGAGCGTACAGCCCGGAGTGGGTTCTACCTGCATGAGCACGAGCTCTCTGCCCATCCCCGTATTGGAGAACGGGTGCGTCTCTAACGACTTGACGGGGAGGGCGCTGAATAGGGCCACGAAGTAGGCCTCCTGGAAGGGCGGGGCCGTGTCCACGCTGCAGTCGTAGAACTGGGCCCAGCTCTGCGCCTTGAGCAGCGCCAGCGCCTCGCGCGTGACCTCCTGGAACCCGATGACCGCGGGGCGCGTGCGCTCCACGAGCCGGCCGATGGCCTTCATGCGCACGGAGCGAGCCACCTCGTCGAAGAAGACGTTGAACGTCAGGATGCGCAGCTTCATGCTAGCTGGCTTGTCAAATGATTCTGTGGTTTTTGAATTTTCTAAAGTTCGCGGATATGCGAACTTAAAGCCCGTTCTCAACCGGACCGCTCTTATTGACTCACAGTATCAGACAACAGCCGAGCCACGGACAAGGCGTCAATTTGACTCCTTGACTGCCAAAAAAGTCAACCTTGTATTTTAGCTTCTACTCGAGGTGTTCGGGCCGCTGGTGCTAGCGGGCGCCAACACAAAGGGGGCCCGCTACTCTATCCAGCCTACATGTATACGAATTCGTGTTATTATTGAGTGCATCGTACAGAACGTGTAATGTTACATCTATTTCGAAGTAGATACATGTTGCAGGTAGTGGACACTACCTTTAGATGTAGAACCCCCACCACCGGGAAGCGTGTACTACGCCTACCTGCTCTTTAGCAGGCGTAGATCAACACGCACTAGCGCAGCATGTCCTACGAGTGGAAGTTATGTATCAGTCAATATACATGTAGTCATAACATGCATCGGTTGACGGAGTCGTGTGCGTGAGAGTTAAATGTTATCGTGTACCGTGAGATAAAAACTAATAGCTGCGACTGCTGCCGACAGTTACCAGCACCTGCATACCATATATAGGGGCCAAACAATTCGGCTGCAGTGCCTATGGAGATGATTGTTGTTATGCATTCGAGACCTTGCTAACTTTACTTGATTTATGATGACAAACAGCCCATATCCACAGCCAACCATGATGTTTGGGCTTTCAAGCGAGCTAACGTATACCTCCATGCCCGTACGATATCGGCGAAGGCGTGCTGAGGCGAAAGGCACCGTTAGGTGGCATCAGTAGAGCTTTTTATTTGAGTCAACAGAGGTTTAGCACTAAAATAAAATGTGAGTATGTCGAAAAACTTGTTGTGTTTCTGCATATTGCAAACATCTTCAGCAAAAACTGGCGCAGACAACAATAAGGAAAGCGATACAAAAAGATCTACTACGCTGGTCAACCAGCAGTGTGAAGAAAAACCGTCTACCTACCGCGATATGGTGGAGCTACTCAATGAGTGGATCGTCATCTTATGCTACAGAAGCTACTTGTAAGTTAACCACACCAGTATAATGAAGAAATATAAGTGCGTAATATTTTGCTGCACAAAGCAAAATAGATTCCTTAGCGTAGAGCGCGTGTAGCTTCAAATTCAATGGCCGCTTTAGAAATGTTTAACGAGTTTCCGTTTTCATTACAGTTTTTGTGAGTTGCCTTGCATTCTTGCTGTTTGGTTTTAATCTACTGGTACGTCGGATACCTATTTAGCATTAATCCACTACAGGCGTACAAGTACTGGCTCATATATTGTTTTCAGTTGGTGTATGAGCTAGCATCGAGAAATACGAGTCTTCGTGGGCAAAACTCATCATACTTCGCGTTGCTGCTTTTGGTATGTTTTGAGTTCGAATTGACCGATGTCATCTGGAAGCTCATGCGGGTAGGGCGCACAATGCGGCCGCATGCGGCCGCATTGTACAAAACTGTGCGATGCGGTGCGGCCGACCTGACGGCAGTTTTTACGAGGTTTTTCTGCTTGTCGTATTATATTGTGAATTCCGGCCAAATTTGCCGAATCGGGTCGGTTTTGGGGCCCCTGTCCAACCGACCAATACAAACATCAAGTCATTTGCCGAATCGCCGGCCAACAAACATATGGTTCTGTGCCCGCATGTCAAGCCCAATCCGTACTTAGTAGGGAGTCAAGGGGGCATAGCCGGGCGACCTTAGTCAACCCAAGTGCTTTGGCCACGGACGATTCAATCCGCCCCGATCGGAAAATTAGAGTAGAACTCACAATAATACTGTGAAACATTCAAAAAGACAGCGATCTTTTAGCTTTTCTTTTTTGGCTGAAAAGCAAAATCTGCTGCTAACGTTGTCTTCATACTACCAGTATTAATAGTAGTGTAGACCATTTTCCAATTTGAAAGCGACTCTGCCCTCACTACTTCCGCACAGATGCAGATAAACTGTCGAGAGCTTCCAGCACCAACCAAAGGCCGTGGAAAAAGGCCGCAAAATGTTTTTCAGAGCAAACTCACAAATGCTTCAGATTTTGAAGTTCAGACGGCTTTGTCGGGGTTGGACACGACTCTTTCTCGGCTCGTGGTGATCTTGATGTACCTGATGCGCGTGCGGCCATGGTACGGGCCCCAGAGGGCCTCCAAGCACTGGATGCGCTCACCAAGCTGCATCTTCATCGTTTGCGGGTAGCCGCCGTTGCCGCCGTGGTTCGCACTGGTTCGTCCCGCTCCCGGGGGCGTAACTTCGATTCCAACGCCGTTCACGCGCTCGCCGGTGCGAATCGTGACGGAATGAATAGCCTCTCCGGACTTGGCAAACACCGTATCCGTGAAAAAATTACCGTGGGGCTCGCCATACGTCTTGCCGAGCCGATAAATCTCCCAGCCCTCGGTAGTTGCTTCAGTAGCGCCGATCGTCATTAGCGCCACCGTTGCCAGGACCTGGGAGAAGAACTTCATCGTTGTAGCTTGAGCTTGTTGCTGGAACGAGAGAAATTGAGAATGAACTGAAGCTCCCGCCGTCTTTCCCTTACGGCTTTGAACTTGCCATTCACTCGATGGTACACCGATACGCATCCACCATGGAAGCATCCCAGATGCCGGATGTACTACAGGTACTCTAGGATAAAGGATAGGATCGGCCTATTGGAAGGGGCCACTCACAGTCACGTTCCATGATGAAGTGGTATCGTTCGTCGACAAACCCACCGTAAAATAAGCGGAGGATTTTTGGGAGATCTGGGCAATCTCAATGCTACACTTGGTCTCGATTCAACGTGATACCTGTCAAGTATAAAAAAATATATACTACGATTTTGGCCATCAAGCCACCTGTCTAACCATCAATGGAGTATCTGATAAAGCTAAACCGTGTGTATAAAAAAATTGAGGGCAGCTAAGGAAAACATGTTTACGAGGTGGTTGCTCAAAATCGCACTTAATGTGACTTTGCCCATACTTGTACGAACAATATGGTGTTGACGAGCAACTTATTCGTCAACTCCCCTCCCCCCGTCGCGTGACTTTTCCTTGGCACCATCCGCTTCAGCAGTGTTGACGAGCAAGTTGTCCGTTGGAGATGGTAGCATCCGCTTCAATGTTGATGAACAGATTGCTCGTCATCACTAAACTCGAGGATGCAAGTCGATATCTCATCCTGATGCATCCATTTACAGTATATTATAGCAGCTAGCAAAACGAGACGTTCATTAAGCAGTTAATCAACTTCTCCTTTTTCTAACCTCGAGGATGCAGTATTATTATTTTCTATTGGACAATATTGATCGATACTGTACACGCAATTTTTCGACTCAGATCGCTGGGATGCCTTTTTCCTCTCGCTCCAATGTAGTGTAGCTTGACTGGCTATTTGCACCAAACCCTGCCTGTAATGCTTGAAGTCGGTGAATCAAGTTGGGCAAGGGATTAATGAGACCAGGGATTCCAATCGCTCCAAATAAAGTTCAACGAACATGAAGTAGATCATACAAGAGTACTTTTTCAAGCCTCAAATTTTATTATCGAGCTTTCACAGCGGCTGTTAAAGCAGCGTTAATGTTGTTGGCAGCCAAGAGCTCTCTCACTTTCGCCAGCGTCTCCTTCCCGTTCTTCTCTGCTGCAAACCGCAATGTGTATGCCTCCAAAACTTTGTATCCGGGGTCACTTTTAAACCGCTCCGTAATACTATCTTCAATGTTCACCAAACGCGCGATGCCCTTTGGCTCCACTGTGGCCATCCATCGTCGGAACAGATTCCTCTCCAAGCTATCACCGAGTCTTTTCAGGTCCAGTCGTGTTAAGCGACTGGAAAAACCCCGCCAAGTTTACGTCCGGTGTGAGCCTTCCCTTCAGCAGGAAATTCAGCGTTTGGCGGTCGGAATACGAACTTGCACCCATCTTAGCTTTGTACTTCTCGGTGAAGCGGAGCCACTGGAGAAACTGGTGCCTATCTGCCAGTGGCGTTTTCCCGAGCCGTAGGATATTGAAAACACTCTGCGGGGTTTCTCCGGCACCCAGCCACACCGCGTCCAGCCAGCTGTGTATAGCTGGTGGTGAAGCTCTTATCAAGAATTTCTGCATCTTCTCTGCTGATTTCTTCATTCCTGGAACCAGTCTAATCGACTGAAGAACCGCCGCCAGCTCTGCTCCCGGCGTCGTCTGCCTCAAGAAGTTAAACACTTCGAGGTCCGTGAACCAGCGCTTCCCCCACTTGCTTCTGTACAGTTCCACATAGTCGAGCCACTGTATGAATTTCGGGTTGTCGTTGAGCCTTGCCATGCTAGCCTCGCCAAGACACAGAGCCTTGAACACATCTCTCGGGTCGGTTAGCGACTGTAGCCACAGCCGGACGCGTCTTCGCTGCCAGATCCGACAGCACGGGATTGCCAGCTCTTTCTTCGTCGTCGTTAGTTTCGGTATCGGCCGTGAGTGATCTCAGTCTTGAAACACCTCTGCTCGCTTGGTCAAGCGCTAAAGTGACACCAAAATTCGCGAGGAAGGCAACGAAGAGCAACAAGACCCCACACTTCTTGTGCATGCTTGAACGTTGGTACTTGCTGGAAAGTTGTGAACTGAGGATCTCAGTACACCACGGTGATCGTCTTCAATGGCGCTCTCAGTCTCAGGGCCGTTCGTTACAGAGGAATTGGTTGATTTTGTACATTTTGTAGCGCAATCTTCTATGCATAAAACACGCAGTAGGTTGTACGGGGGAGTGTGCCAAGGTACTAATATACCGTACATTCCACGGTAAAGGATACACAACAATAACCAGAGATTAATGCGTTATGATGTCTGTTATCCCAATACAGTACTGAGATAACAGTCACGTCGACACCTCCATGGTGTATTCGTACAATTTTCTAGCGTAATCACCCTGGCGTAGAGATCTACATAATATGTAGATCTCTACGCCTCTAATATTCGTATATTATACGAATCTACATTACCAAGGAATAGCGCTTCTCGCGAAGGGAGTGATGTAGTGCCGATGAATGCTGATCGTGAACTTGTAAGTTCATAATTTAAGCAACATACCTCAATGAAATGGAAATACATGTAGTATCGTAGGAGCCAGTCAAAATTGCCTTAGTAAGGAATACTTAATTTGAGACTTCCTTAGAAACTTAGAAATCCGCTTTTCAAGGCAAATGACAAATACAAACACCAGATAATGAATGCGGCTATGACTACCAAGAAAATAGTATTATAATAACCACACATTTAACTCTAAAGTTTAAACAGCGAAAAATTCAAGTAACATGTAAATTACTTTTAATCCAGCCGAAGTACTTCAAAGATTAACTCACTTTCATACTGCTCAAGTACATGTATAGTTTATTAAATCCAGAGCTCCTCCGTGTATACACGCCGCTAGTATTAATTCATTTTCTTTTAGTTTTATTACGAAACCTTTACAGCTGCTTCTAATGCAGCTGTAGGATTGTTGTTGGCAAAGAGCTCTTTAACTTTCTCCATCGTCGCCGTCCCGCTCTTTTCTGCTGCATACTGCAGTGTGAACGTTTTCAGAATTTCATACCTGGGGTCGCGTTTGGACACCTTCGAAACACTGTTTCTGATTCCCAAAACCGTCGCGACGTTCTTCGGCTCCCATGTTTCCATCCAGATCCGGAAGAGATGCGTCTCCAAGCTGCCGCCAACCTTCTTCAGACCGGAGATCTTCTTAATCGACAGGAAAAACGCTGCTAGGTCTTCTTCCGCAGTCCACGGTCTTGTTTCCATCAAGATTTCCAGTGTTTGCCGGTCTGAGTAAGAACTTTCTCCCACCTTAGCTCGATATTTGTCGGTGAATCTAAACCACTGAACGAACTTTCGGTTGGCTTCCAGGGGAGTTTCACTCAGACGGAGGATCGTGTAAACATTTTGGGGACTTTCACCTGCCTGCAACCACACCTCGTTCATCCATCTGCGAGTGGCGGATGACGCGCTCGCGAACAGGTATTGTTGCAAAATCGTAGCGGCATTCTTCATACCCGGCACCGCTCGAAGCGCTTGGAAAATGACCGCCAGGTCTGCCTGTGGCGTCGTCTTCGCCAAGATCTCGAATACATCGCCGTCCGAGAACCAGTGGTTTCCTTTCTTCGCTCTGAACATGTTCACATACTCGAGCCATTGCCAGAACTTCGGATTGTCGTCAAGCCTGGTCGCCGCGGTCTCACCCAGGTGTAACGCGTTCCAAACATCCTTCGGGCTGGTTTTAGACTGTAGCCACAACCAGTTCGCGACACTGGATGTATCTTCGATGCCAGCTCCGCGATCTTCGACAGCAGGGGGATACCAGCCCTCTCCTGACCCTCTTTAGCGTCGTTAGAGGCCGTGAGCAGCATTCTCGAGACCTCCGTGCTCTTGTATGCCCTAAATGAACCAGGGGCGGTACGTAGATTGGCAGCAACATCGCTAGCTTGGTTGAAGTCTAAAGCGACAGTAAGAAAGACAACGGGTACGAGTAGAAACACGCACCGCAGACGCATACCTGCGCCCAAAGTTTTGGGATCTGTCGGTGTGTGTGCTTGGAGACAAGATTCGAACTGAGGAGTGGATAGCTCCAGCCATTCGTGCCGACGCATAAAATGATGGCACGGGCTTTCCGGAAGACCTCTTCATGTACTATACTGAAGTTACAATTGCCATTTTAATAAGAGGTGACCAGTCTATGACGTTCACGTCATCATGTGGCGCCGGTGTGACACAAACTTTCCAGCCGATTCTGAATCGTCGATTCATTCCCGAAGCCTCAGATCCATGTAGCCATACCTACCGGTAAGGCGGGAACCAAATGTGAAGGGATGAAAGGTTTGTGCCCGGCGACAGAGCATCGGAATAAGTATGACATAGCTCGCGTAACGTCTTGGAGTGGTTAATAGTAGTCCAATAGAATCATAGTTTGCAGCTCGAGTTTAAGTCCGCTTGATTATCGTGAAAACCGATTACATAGTTTGTCCTGCTGAATTAGCCGGTTAAACATCGCTCATAGCGGATTTGGAGACAAATAAATCGGGGATGTCGCAATTATGATCGGAGTATAAATCGGTCATCGATCTCGTAATTATGTGCAGCCTAGCTATTTCGACCAACATGCATTTCCCTCGGCCCGAGACTCGCCAAGTGCAGCGGCAACACCGCGCTTAAACGCGTCGCCTGCATATCTCAGTTACACGTATTATAGCGTGCGGTTTTTCTTGCTTCGTTCTGCTGTTAGGCCGTGTTCGACTTGCATCCAATCCAGTTGTTTGGGCCAAATGCAGCCGGGGGAAAACGTCAAAAGGTGTATGAATTTGAAACGTTTTGTCAAAAGCGGTTAGCTCGTGTCATTAGATGTATGCTAGGTTGTCGGTATGACAGTATGTGTATGTGGTTCCAAGCGCACCAAGGTGCATGATAAAGCTGCATCGGCAACGAATGCGGTGACTGGTGTGTGGGCTTAGATCCAAATCCATAAAACCCCGGGTTAGGAAGGCAACTAGCCCGGTCCGTGGTGTCCATGACTTTGATAGCGAATTGTACGGCTGAGGGACTACAATGAACGTCGTTATCCATTGTAGCCAGGTCAGCGTTGCCACAGTTCTACAATACCTACACTCTCCCCCGGTTGGGGGCTCTCACTAGAGCTCCTTCACCTCCGAAATTCAGATGCAAAATCTACCTAGTATAGCCATGCTATATACGCTTGCGGTTTGCGTTGGTAGTTCCTTGTAGCTACAATAGCGAAGTTGTCGAGTACAGTTGCTCTATATGCTATTATTAGTTGACCGTGTTCGCTACGAGCGTGTCGTTAATAAACTACTGTGCTTGGAAGCTCGATCCTGGGTCTGTATGACCCGACCTCGGCCGATATACCGCGGCAACCAAAACGTGTGTCAGTACGTGTATGATGAGACATGACGCGACGTGACGCCCACGACCACTACACCTATTGACAAACGTTTTCCCAACGCATACACCTTTTGACGTTTTCCCTGCAGCCGGATTAGCTTCATCCAGCTCGTTTGCGACCTGAAACACCCAAAAAAGCGATCCAGCTCGATAAGCTCAAAAGAGCTGGATTTAAAATTCAGCTCTAGGCAAAATTATGAATCGGGCTGGATAAACCTGCCTTTTCTACGTGCCTTCCAAACCAACAATTTGTCCGAAACCAGTCCTTTTTGAATCGAGCTCGAATGGGGTGTGCAAGTCGAACACGGCCTTAGTTTTCTAGCCTTGACTACCTAGCAAAGAGCGACTGCAACGATTGTTGTCTGGCGGCTGATTTACACCATTTCTCACACGACTTGCAAATTTTTCAAACCAAGGTGACTTGTCCGTGCAAATTTTAAATGTATGCTTTTGGTCACATGAAAACACATGTCCAAGCGGAAGCGAGCGGTTGCAAGGTCGCGTAGTCGCAGCAAACCCGCGCGGGGTGCCCGCGAAGCAGGGCCGAGAGAGCGTTCTAACCACAGAGGAGGATGGTCATTTCACAGAGCGTGGGGCCAAACTACAGACGGTAGTGCATAATCACAGAGACAGCGATTGCTTCACAGAGCACGCTCCTGTACGCGTAACCTTCGGCACAGCGTAACCCGCGCAATTCTGCCGCAGAATTGCCGCACATATACTTATTGCATATTATTGCTGCTACTGGCCGGCTCAATGCCTGCGTACAGTGGGGGCTTCTTGTGGTGTGGCACCCATGAGGGATCACTACAGCCCACCCCCGCTGCCTCCTACGTTCGAACTAGGCGCGCTATTAACGCATGTAGCTCGACTGAAAAGCGGGGGGGGGGGGGGGGGGCGTGGTGCAGCTACGCGATCGTCACGGGGGTCGGTAACGCGAAGCGGATGAAACAGGGCTACGTGTGCATCACCCGCATAAATCTAGAATGACATAGAGTGAAGTGAAATACCAGCTAGCTGCTACAGCGTGCAGTAGCACAGGCTGCGGTTGCCATGCCTCGAGTAGCAGCCCAATGGCGGGCGGAGCGTTGCTCGGTACTAGTCAAAAAGACACTTGCGCCGTGCGCTACAAGTCTCTCAACCATGTTGGCGTGTCCGTGCACAGCTGGCCGTGGCCATTGAGCGCGTCGATAGCGGCGGTAGCACACACATCTCTCAGTCAGGTATGCTTGAGACTGCTTCCCGAGCTGGAAGCGCGGCAATGAAACACTCGAGTCCCCATGCGTTTTGCCGCGCTTATGGCAGGTTGATATAGGATCAAATAGTGGTGACTCATGCGGCAGACCGACTGGCGTTGCGTCCGGTGGAGACCACGTTCAGCACTTTGGCGCCATCGACGAGGTTTCCTGTATGCTACGACGCAGGGAGTAGGATGCGCTATTATATATTATAAAATACTTCCTACACCTCAATGCATAAACTATAGTCTCCTCTGCCTCTTTAAGGCTGTAGCACGATCATGATCGACAGCTTTTATCTTGCAGTATAGCATGAAACTTCTGCTCCTAGCATTGTCTGGTCGCGAGGAGCACAGTTTTAGTGCAACGAGGCGGCAGGTATTCATGCAGCAAGCGCACATCACAAAATAACATCTATCTACTCGATCACGGCATAATATCACATAGGAGAGAAAACGCACACAGCACACAGCAGATTCGGCTGGGTCCTTGCTCGTACAGTTCGCAAGTGCTGGTATTTCTGCCAGCAGAATTGGATTTGCTGCTGCCGGTATTGCCCTTATGTACTTCTGCTAGCAGAATTGCATTTAAGAAGGACCAAGATGTATTTCTCCCTGCAGAATTGCATGTGGCGAGGCCCGCGATGTATATCTGCCGGCAGAATTGCATGTGGCAAGACCCACGAGGTATTTATGCCGGCAGAATTTCAGTTGGCAAAGACCACTATGTATTTCTGCTGGCAGAATTGCATATGGCAAGGAGCACTGTGTATTTCAGCTGGCACTCAGCCGGTAGTGGCAGTGCTAGTGTTCTATTTCTGCTGATGGATCTGACGCCGTCCACAGCTTTAGGTGACGACTGCAGACCAGCATAGCAATTCTGTCGGCAGGATTGCTTTATGAGAGGTCATACATCCAGAATAGTGACTACCAAAGGGTAACCCTGGAGGTTACACTGGGAGTCGTGTCTCCTCTGACAGCTGCTGTGTCATAAACGTTGCTCTGTGAAATTGCTGCACGCTCTGTGATTCTGCCGCGTTCGCTGCCCTTGCAACCACGGATTTATATCCTGGTTGATGTCCAAGACGTGGTCCGGGATTCATCCAGGACGTAAGATAATAACTCACACACAAAACTTTCCCCTTTCCGCGAGGACGACACCAGCAGGCCGAAGCAGCTGGCTTCCTCATAGCTTCAAGCGCGCGGCAGTTCCGCGGCGGCACCCACCGATGGGAGTTTTCACCTCGATCTTCGGCTTCGTGTTCACGGTGATCACGTTGCTGACCGATATGCGTTAGTCATTATTCCTGCATGTACGCTAGCAGAACACAGCACAGTATATTCCTTCATGACTTCATGAAATACCTTTAAATCCTTATAACCAAAGGTCGTTGCTTCGATATCCTCGATTCGCACGGTAGTCTGTAGTCTTCGTCCTGATCGAGCTGGCTCCTGTGTAGCAGTAGAGTACCTTCGTTATCGTAACGGCGTTAAGCCTTGGGGTAGCGGGCAATTCGACTTTCACGACGTCATGCGCTGCCGCGTGGAGAAACTTCGACATTTTATCGTTGGGTGGCGTATCTACATGTAGCAAGAAGTCCAAGAAGTCCAAGAAGTGCAAGAAGTGCACGTGCCGAGGCGCTTAAACATTGCACTGGCCACGTAATTGCATTGAGTCGCATGTAGTATAGGTGTGACACCGTCCACATCCTGTTGAGCGTCTTGGCCCGCGTGCACTCGAGCACATTGAAGATCAACGATTAACAGTTGATCGCCGCCGGTAAAGCTAGTAGGACGAGACGGCGTGGCATTCTCACCTCCGTTTCAACGCAGATCATGTAGTCCTCCCGAAACACAGTGGACGCCTACGGGCCTTGGTCGTGCCGTTCCACTGACTGCTTCCCGCGGTAGACCATGGCTGTTGGTGGCCGGTTCTTTCTTGCCGAAGTCGCAACTGTTGCGCCCGCCCGCTAAACTACACGCAGATGCTACTACGTGAACGCTGTACGAGACGCTAATAGAGCGATGTTATCGTAAGAGCACTTATCTCGCTTTCACCTCGCTAACGGGGACTAATAACTGGTTAATAAACTTTCCTCTAAAGTAGGGTTAAACTGACGCAGATCTCCATGAATGC